TATTGTACAAATGTTAAAGAGAAAATATGGCAAGAATGGGAACACAAAAAAGGTGTCCAAATGCCACTGTCAAGGCCAGTCAAGTAAAATCTCTTTGTGGAAACAGAAATACCAGAGTGATAATCACACACAAGTACATCAGAACTCATTCAAAATATGGCAGATATTATGAGTATGTTACTACAAATTTCAGAGTACAAACTCTCACCTTTGGAGCCATGAATCAACAATTGTCTTCGACTAACTCGAGGCTGCAAAATGGTTTTGTCCAACAACCAATCGAAGAGATACCGTTGCCCGGGACACCTGCACGAAAGAATTGACAAGTTCATTGCAGTTAAAAGCTTCATTTCACTCTGAATACACAAACAAATTCAGAACATAAAAAAAAACAAAAATGGGTAACCTGCTTAACACCCCTGCCCTTTTCGTCTCGAGCCTGCGATCCACGAAAAAGAAAAGCACAAGTGGCAAGAAACAAAAGAATGATGCAGCAAAAAAATGAAAGTTCCGTGACCTGCGCAAAGAGGGAGCTCTGCAAATTGGGGGGAATAGTGGAAAATTGAAGTAATTTGAATAAAGAATCTGAACTCCAACAAACCTTACCCATTCTCGCTCTGAAATCAACATATACCCAATCCAAGTAGAAGTTTAAAGCATAACGAAATTCACGGGAGCCCAAGTATATCGAAATAAGCTTTTTGCTTCTGGGGGGAAACCACCGGGTTTTTAGAGCTAAGAGAAAGGGGATCGCTGAAGCATCTCACGGGGGGTGTGAATCCTAATGAAGTCTGCACCTTACGTGGCTCACGCGGAGAGCAAAAGAGAGTCAATACCCTCCACCGAAATTATGGGTTGTATTTATAAATTATAATTAAGGAATGGACACAAACTGACAAGGTCACGGGACAAAGAAAATAAAACAAGGAAAATAAGATGGGCAACCCATCTCATGATACCAAACAAAAAATAGAAGAAAAGAAGTCAAAGCACTATCAAGTTGGTGAATGTGACGTGGCAATTAAAATATCCAATTCTTTTGCCAAAAGTGGAGTATATCCAAAACCATCAAAATGCACCATGCTAAACATTAGTATGATGCTAAACCATATTAAATTAAGATGTTGCTTGTCTCCAAATCGTGAAGCTAATTGAATAAACCAAATTCTAGTGGTACAAAACCACGAAAATTCTTCAATGGGTTACCCACCAATTCAATCAAATTCCAAATTCGTTTGAGCCAAATTCAAGGGCCCCTTCTAGATTGTTATACACAAATTAATGGATCAAATATTCCTATTAAATTTACAAGACACAAATGGCATGAAGCCGCGTCAAATCCCAAAAGGCATGAAGCTGAAGAAAAATCTCAAATGGCACAAAGCTGCGATGCGTCTCAAAATTAATGAACTACGCCGGTTTGATTCCGTTAAGGATACGTAGGTAGTCTAATATCAAGTTTTAGACGCAACCGTGAAACCGAAACGAATCCCTGGTTTATATAAACTAAATTCACTCCTGCTATCAAATACCAAAATGGCACGAAGCCGAAGAAAAGTTTTCAAAGGGCACGAAGCAGTATCAAAGTCTCAAATGGCACAAAGCCGAAGAAAAGTCTCAAATGGCATGAAGCCATATCAAATTTTCAAATGCTCATCGCCCGCATGAGCTGAAACTGCATAAGGCACTATGCTTCTCGCCCGCATGAGCTAAAACTGCACAAGGCATCAAATCCAAATAAGTATCAAATCCATGAACTACGAGTGACTTGATCCCTCAAGAGGGTACGTAGGCAATCTAGGATTCGACCTAGATGCAGTCACAAAATCAAACAAGCACCAAAATCCTCAAGTTACATTTTCTTCGAATTGGAATCAAAGGGTATTTCTTTCCCAAAAGGAAGGTTGTAATTAATAGGCGCGTAGCCTAGAATGGGTCGAACTTGAATTAGTAAAACCCTTTTCGGAAAATTGAACGAGGGTGAAATTGTGTCGAGTGAATTATTTGTTTACATATTATGTACAATTTTTGCTCAACAGTGGTCTTTGAGCAGCCCAACTTTTGAGAAAGCAAGCGCCTCTTCGATTTTTGAGATCAGCCCTCGTGGTCTCTGAGCAGCCCAGCTTTTGAGAAAGCAAACGCCTCTTCAATTTCTGGGCAGGCGCCTCTTCGATTTCTGAAGCTCCGTTGAGTGCAGATTTTTATAGAGACTGACATTAAGTTCCAAAGCACACTTTGATCTCCACCAGTAGAAGCTCCCTTCTTGCACTTCTAAGATCTTGATTTGTCCGACCTCTTCTCTCTTCAATACCTTTGAAAATGTCTGGCCCCTCCAACCGTCGTTTTGACTTGAACCTTGTTGAAGAGGCAACCACGCCTTTTCCAGACAACATATGGCGCCCATCATTCTTATCCCCTACTGGTCCTCTTACCGTTGGGGATTCCGTGATGAAGAATGATATGACCACTGCGGTGGTGGCCAGGAACCTTCTCATTCCCAAAGATAACAGACTACTTTCCAAACGGTCTGATGAGTTGACGGTTAAGGATTCTCTGGCTCTAAGTGTTCAGTGTGCAGGTTCTGTGTCTAATATGGCCCAACGCCTATTTGCTCGAACCCGCCAAGTTGAGTCATTGGCAGCTGAAGTGATGAGTCTCAAACAGGAGATTAGAGGGCTCAAGCATGAGAATAAACAGTTGCACCAGCTCGCACATGACTATGCTACAAACATGAAGAGGAAGCTTGACTAGATGAAGGAATCTGATGGTCAGGTTTTACTTGATCATCAGCGGTTTGTGGGTTTGTTCCAAAGACATTTATTGTCTTCGTCTTCTGGGGCTGTACCGCGTAATGAAGCTCCAAATAATCAACCTTCGATGCCTCCTCCTTCTAGGGTTCTGTCCAATACTGAGGCTCTGAATGATCCCCCTTCAATGCCTTCTCTTTCTAGGGCTCTACCGACTGCTGAGACTTCTCCTAAGCAACCTTTGTGAAAACTCCCTCTTGTTTGTTTATTTTGACTTATGTATATGTACATATTTGTAACTTATCGGAGATATCAATAAATAAGTTTTGCTTCATTCCAACGTATTGTGTTAAATACATCAAAACCTTCTTCACTAAGTTCTTTGATTTTTTCTTTTGTTGAAGCTTGTATGTTGAAGCTTTGTGAGTGGAGCATGTAGGTTGAGGTAGTGTTCCCTTAATTTCCCAAGTGAGGAAGACTTCTCGGTTGGAGACTTCAAAAATCCAAGTCACTGAGTGGGCTCGGCTATATGAATCTTAGAACGCCATTGTGCTCGATCTTGTGTCATGTCCTTCGTTAGATCCAAGTACTCTAAGTCTTTTCTTAGAGTCTCTTCCAAAGTTTTCCTAGGTCTTCCTCTACCCCTTAGGCCCTGAACCTCTGTCCCGTAGTCGCATCTTCTAATCGGAGCGTCAGTAGGCCTTCTTTGCACATGTCCAAACCACCGTAACCGATTTTCTCTTAGCTTTCCTACAATTTCGACTACTCCTACTTTACCTTGGATATCCTCATTCCTAATCTTATCCTTTCTCGTGTGCCCACACATCCAACGAAGCATCCTCATCTCCGCTACACCCATTTTGTGTACGTATTGATGCTTCACCGCCCAACATTCTGTGCCATACAGCATCGCCGGCCTTATTGCCGTCCTATAAAATTTTCTCTTGAGCTTCAGTGGCATACGACGATCACACAACACGTCAGATGCGCTCTTCCACTTCATCCATCTAGCTTGTATTCTATGGTTAAGATCTCCATCTAATTCTGCGTTCTTTTGCAAGATAGATCCTAAGTAGCGAAAACGATCGCTCTTTGGTATTTCCTGATCTCCGATCCTCACCCCTAACTCATTTTGGCTTCCATTTGCACTGAACTTGCACTCCATATATTCTGTCTTTGATCGGCTTAGGTGAAGACCTTTAGATTCCAACACTTCTCTCCAAAGGTTAAGCTTCGCATTTACCCCTTCCTGAGTTTCATCTATCAACACTATATCGTCTGCGAAAAGCATACACCAAGGAATATCATCTTGAATATGTCCTGTTAACTCATCCATTACCAACGCAAAAAGGTAAGGACTTAAGGATGAGCCTTGATGTAATCCTACAGTTATGGGGAAGTTTTCGGTTTGTCCTTCATGAGTTCTTACGGTAGTCTTTGCTCTTTCATACATATCCTTTATAGCTTGGATATATGTTACTCGTACTCTTTTCTTCTCTAAAATCCTCCAAAGAATGTCTCTTGGGACCCTATCATACGTTTTTTCCAAATCTATAAAGACTGTGTAAATCCTTTTTCCCATCTTTATATCTTTCCATCAATCTTCGTAAGAGATAGATTGCCTCCATGGTTGAGCGCCCTGGCATGAACCCGAATTGGTTGTCCGAAACCCGTGTCTCTTGCCTCAATCTATGCTCAATGACTCTCTCCCAGAGCTTCATTGTATGACTCATTAGCTTAATACCCCTATAGTTCATGCAATTTTGTACGTCGCCCTTATTCTTGTAGATAGGCACCAAAGTGCTCTTTCGCCACTCATTTGGCATCTTCTTCGTTTTCAAAATCCTATTGAAAAGGTCAGTGAGCCATGCTATACCGTCTCTCCCAAGACTTTCCACACTTCGATCGGTATATCGTCTGGGCCCACTGCTTTTCTATGCTTCATCTTCTTCAAAGCTACAACCACTTCTTCCTTTCTGATTCGACGATAAAATGAGTAGTTTCTACACTCTTCTGAGTTACTCAACTCCCCTAAAGAAGTACTCCTTTCATGTCCTTCATTGAAAAGATTATGAAAATAACTTTTCCGTCTGTCTTTGACCACGTTCTCTGTAGCAAGAACCTTTCCATCCTCATCCTTGATGCCTCAACTGATGAAATCACTGTAAAAAGTTAATTTACGCCCCTAGAATTGCGTGCACATAAACAATGTTACAAAAGGATTACTCAAACAAGAAAATCAAACCCACGTACCATACAGTGGCCCTCTAAAAAGACCAAATGGGGTCGATTTGGCAAGCCAGTGACTCTTGAAGCTACATAAGCGCTGTACCAATCCGTGAATGTGTGGAAGAGATTTGCATACTCAAAGCGTGTCACCAGAAGTGTTGGCTCTTCAATCCACTGCAAATACAGACTTTCATAGCAGATTTAGAAAAGAAGCAAATAATACTATAGTCAGCAACGAACATTAACTAACAACTGTAAGAAGAGCGGAGTTGTAATCATTCTCTCAAAATTGCAACTTTCTTCGTTCATCGTTTGAATTATTCCAACACCAAACATTGGCAGATAATTGATCTGCATCCATTTTTCATAAGGAACCTCTTCACTATTTGGCAATTAACAAAATGTGTTCAATTCCGCAGATTTTAAACATCAGATCATCACAATGACGTAAACCATCAAAGAAACTCAAACCTTTTACAGACCCATATAGAAAATCTCCTAAATTAGAAACTCCAAAAAACGAAAATCACACTAATCATCAACAAAATGCAAAGTCAAACCCAGGAAACTATAATCGACCACTAAACTCACACATAGAACTTAACAAATCAGCAGTTCCTCAACACAAAGCTCGAAATTTAAAACCCCATTTACCAAAATCACACTAACAATGAATCACTAAAACCAATTAAATCCTCGAAATCACAATCAACCGCAAAATCTAAAAACAGAAACTAACAGAAAACCCAACAAACCTCATTGCACTGAAACTCTGCGGTGGGCACTATCCGAATCGACCCAATCAGTTCTCTCATAGTGTGCTGATCAGTCTGACCTTTTGGCACATACCCATCAAGAGATTCTTGGGTCACAAGCCTTTGATCCCCTCCTCCACCAACCCCATCTCCTCCATTAATCTCAAATGCACCGTATTGATACTCAGGCAGCTCCTCCTCCTCTCCTCTCCCAATCACCTCCTCCAAAACCTCACCACCCCTCGACATCTTAATCTTCTCTGGGTCCATCCGGAGGCCCCCTCCTTCGCACACTGAGCTCCTCAAGGTCTCTCTGAACCAGCACCTGAACCAACCCATGCGATTGGAGCTCAAATCAATCATGGGTTTCAAGAGATCGACCCTGGTGGTGAAGCCATTGCCGAAATAAGCCTCGCAGGAGCGAAAGGGGACCTGGGTTGTCTGGGACCAGGGGAGGTAAGAGGGTAAAATGGGCCATGGCTTCGAGTAGCGGTGCGGGTGGCGGCGGTTCTGATCGGTTAAGGGGAGGCGGTTGAGGGAGAGAGAGTGGTGGGATTGGGTTTGGGTTGGAGTTAGTGTTCTGGAGTTGGAAGTGAAGTATAGGAAGAGAGAGAGGGAGTTTAAGGCAAATAGAAACAGAAGGATCTTGAGCAGAAGCAAGTTCCTTCTGTTCATGGCGCTCTCTCTCTCTGTTTCTGAAAACTGAACAGTCTATGGCTATTGAGTTTCTGGGTCCTCCTCAGGTGTTGCTGGGGAAGAAGTGCACCAGTTAAGTACTTGGGGTTGTGGAGTGCCGGAACAGTTAAAGTTACGCAAGTGCTACTGCTTGCAAGTTTTATATTCTTTTTGAAAATTTAGTCTTAAATTTTATTTAAATTCATGTAACTTCTTTCTACACCTAACTTATTCTTTGCACTCATTTGATTTTTAACTAAACAATTAATATCTTTTTAAACCCAAATTTACTACATTAAATACCCTCACAAACCCAATTTAATATGTAAATATTTTTACATCCTTTTGAAAAATTAAAAATCCAAAATCGAAGCATTTTATTTTCCTAAGTCCCACAACTTAATTTTCTTCTTTTTCCCAGTCTTGTTCATAAATATCTCTACTAACTTGATATATTTTTACGTGTTCATCTTTATTTGATTTCTCCCCTATTCTTATGTTCACACCCGCATAAATCACTTTCAGCTTATTATTCTTTGCCTAAGATGCCTTAGTTGATATTTCACCTTCTAATGTGCTAGAATATGAGCCCCTTTTAGGGTTCTTTAGCCTGTTATGTCATGTTTGGATGTAAATTAATTGAAGGGAATAATTATTTGGCTTGACACGATTGATGCTCATATTTTTTTTGTTGGCTTTGGATGGTTGTTAGCATACTTCACGTAAATGACTAATTTTTTGTTGTGTAAAAGTTAAATATTTTATGCTTTAAATGCATGTTCGTTGTGTTCACTAAGACTTTTCCTTCATCAACTTTGGTATACGATTTCAAAGACCTTGGAGGAGGAAGCTGCTATTGGAAGTTTGCAAAATAAAATGGAATCGACATCGTTACAATAAATCCAGGATTGGTGATTGATCCTCTCTCACAGCCAACTCTGAACACAAGCATGGAGCCTATTTTGAAACTCGTAAATGGAACTCCTAAGCAAGTATTTATAAAATTTCATTACTCATTAATATATTGCATGATTTTGTCAAGTAATCATTCCTACTAGAGAACCTATTTTGAGGGGTAAGATCCATCATGATTAAAAGCTTAGGGTTTGGATGGTGGATGATTGTTAAGTTTTAGACGGAGAGCCCAAAGCTCTTCGACCAAAACGAAGATGGAAAATCCAGACTACAGAGAGGTTACATATTTTTAACATCATCGGTGCAACAGTGAGTAGCAACTAGAGTGCAGTGGGTTGATCAATTTACAAAAAATCCATGAATCGAGCAACAACTATGACACTTATTTGGTATGTTCGTGCATCGTAGCAGACCGGGATTGATGAAAAAAATTGAAACCCAAATACTCATCTTCTAAACTCTAAAAAAAATTGAAATTAAATGAACAAATAATTCATAAATTGAGTCATGGAGGATTCAAAAGTTTAAATCACCATCTATCAATAAAAAAAAACTTATTTTTCTCTATAAGAGCTATTAGGTTTTAGCCGGAATAATTGTAGGATAAACATGGAGTGATGGTAGAGTTTAATTATAGTGTGTGGGTTTATTAATAAATTTGACTTTTATTATTAATTTTATTTTGTACTTAATAGTAATTATGCAATAGGATAAAAAAGACAATTAACATTAAAATTTAAGTTGGGTGTAAAAAAAGGTTGCATGGGTTTAAATAAAAATTCCCTTTAGTCTTTCTAGCATTAGGTTGTTTCGGAAAAAGCAGTTATGTAAATTTCAAAGGTAATACTAATATTAAAGAAACTAAATTTTTTTTTTTAAGAAATGATATTATTTATACTAGGAGTAGACTTAGTCTTGTGCTATCAATAATGTGGTTCAAATTCACCTTTGATGAGACTTGAATGTAAAACTTCTCACTTATAAGTGAAGAGGAATACCACAAACCATAGTACTAAGTGATAGGCAGACTAGATTTGTAAACTAAATGATGTGTTCCTAATAAGAAATAAGCACGTTAATCAATACTTAAATAATAATCTAATCATCAACAATCACATCATTTAATTTACAAAATTTAATTTAAAAATTTAGCATTCCTATCATTGGATTTCTATAATAATTACAGTACTAAATGGCTGCCTATCATTGGATTTCTATACAAAATTTTGGAAAAAACAAAATTATTCCAACCAAAAAAAATAATAATTGAATTTCTATGTTAAAAGATAGATTTCTATTTTCACTAAACATTTATAATCTTTATTTTTGGTCGATTTAACAATTATTCTTGGAAAAAAGTAATCTAAATCTCTAATTATTTGGTCATCTAAAATGTATTAGAAAAAAACAAGGTTTACTAGGTAAAAAATAAATTCAATAAATTAAATAATTGATTATGGTGGTGATCCACCCGTATTTAGGGTGAAAGATCCCATATTAAATTCCAAGATTTCCAAGCGGGCCTTTATCACAATAGTGAAAGAGTGATGAGTTCTTACATAACGATGTAGGTTTAAACTTCGTCAATGGTTAATCTAACATCTAATCTAACAAAATCTATCGTTTGAAAAATAAAAAACAAACCTTCATTGTGGAGCAAAAAATAATCAAGAAAAATATGAAGGCGACATGTGGATTTTTGGGTAAAAAAACAAGATTTCCTTCAAGGCACACTAGGATTTCTACGCACAAACAGTGGGCAATCATCCCTCAATCAAGTAAAAGTGCTCAAAATAAGTATTTATTCAAAACCTGTTTCATCCATCATTATCAAATCTTTTCCACAAAATAACCCCCAAATCATTCCTTTCTAATTATATTAATTAGCTAATTAATTTATTTATTACCTAATTAATTTATTAATTAGCTAACAAATCATGAATCTCACCCGAAAAACCATCCAAGTGGCCGGTCCTCCTCCTCCCAAAGGGGCCGGCCACCCCTTATATAAACACCCTTATTTTCTCCAAAACCTAAGTTCTACACTCTTGCTAAATTCTCTAAATTCTTCAAACACTTTTCCCTTAAAATTCTAACTTTAGCATCGGAGGTTCTTCGGCCAAAACCCCCTATTCATCGTGGGCGCGTGAGGCTCTTGGCCTTGACCTAAGGTGTTGTTTGTTTTGTAGGTGCAATTTTGTCCAAGAACAAGGACGAAGAAATTTGCATCCACAAATTGGTGCTTTCTTTGAGAGCCTTGATCAAATGCTCGTATAAGACTCTCGCATTCAAGGTTTTTCGTTTTCTTGTTCATTTGTAAATTTTTCGTAAGTTCTTATTCTTGGAATTTTTTCTAAAAATTCTTTGATAAAAAGTAAAAGAAAAGTACAATGGCAAGAGATTCGGAAACCTCAACGAACGAAAATTCCAACATTCGAGGATTAAGACTGTGGCGATTTACAAGGTTCAAGACAACGACGAGTGGAGTAACACCATCCCTACAGGGGCACCACTGTGGCAACCACTACGGCAGCCACCATAGGCAAGGCTTACGACACCACAACCACGGCCCAAGCCATGCCATTCAAGCCTACGCAGGCCCAAGCCCAAGGCGACACGATCCGAGCCATTCAAGCTCGACGCGAACCCAATGTGTTGGCAAGCCGAGCCCTAACCTCGCATCCACCTGCGCCACACGCTGAGCAGCCCACTTCCGTGGCCTAGCCTACTCCATCGACCCAACCTACTCTATCGGTCCAGCCCACTTCCATGGCCTAGCCTACTTTTGCGGCCTAACCTACTCCCATGGCCTTCCAAGTAGCCTAAACCGGTCCAAGATTAATTTAATCGTCCCGACTTCAAATTTCAGGGCTTACGATTGAACCAGGGTCATTTTCACCATATTTCTTCGCATATTTGACATTTCCCAACTCAAATCTCGAGCTCGGAGTATACCACATATGGAGAAACTTACCATTCAAGCCCTTCCATTTCACATGGCGAACAATACTTATCTCGACAAGTCATAGAGTTGACAAACGCCCTTGAGTAGCAGACGACCTTGGTGAATCAATTCTTGTAGCGTACCGAGATGCAGTGTGCCTCAAACGAGGTGTCCCGAAGAAGGACAAGGGCAGACGACGAACCTTTCCAGCAGCGTTCTAGCAAGCAGCCACTCGACCAGCCACGAACTTAGCATTCAGGCAGTGTACATTCCCGATTGGGCCTCTAAGATAACGTATACTCTGGTCTTAGCGCGCAAAGGAGCGTGCACTCTCGATTAGACCCGCAGATGAGTATACACTCACAGTTTGGGCCACCCATTCAATAATCAACATGAGCGACCTTCCAGGTGAAATGTTCATTTGCGGCAATGCCTGTAAAGAGCATCTTTCACCTCACATCAGAGTAGGCAGCACAACGGACGGAGAGAAGTAGTCACTCAATCGGGCTCAAGTTCAACCAGCAGCTTGCGAGTTATCCGCTCGCTTGTTAGAAACATACCACACGCACCGCAACCGCGACATAGACGAGCAAAACACACGGAAGTGCAGCCTAGACTAGCAGATCACGATCGGGGGCAACCAAGAGCTTCGCTACCCAACAAAGACAAATTCAGGAAGAAGTTCAGAGGCTCCTGACCGAACGATTGCACGATTTCCAACGTAACGAAACTACTGACGAGACGCTCCAATAAGACATGGCTAACAGAACCGGGTCATCTTTCAATGACAATATCGAGCTGACAAGACTATCCTACATAGATTGTCCAATACAAAGATTACTTCTGTTCCGACAAAGGTAGCAGCTCAGTTTAATGGCGTGTCAAGGGCAAACGAGTACCAGAATGACACACCAGCCCAACTACCAAGAACCGGGGGTAGACCTTGCTCTCAACGCTTCAGACGATTCAATACTGAAGCAGCATATCACCAATAGTCGAGCATCATCAACCTAGTGGTCCAATTCCTCATGCTGCGCACAACCTGGCCTAAGCCAGCCCTAGCTCTGCTTTCACAGCCGTACCTACCTGCGTCACGGTTCCCGACAGCCATTGATCTATCACCATGGCTCATAAATGTGCCAATCTTGCACCATGGCTCATAAATGTGCCAATCTTGCACCATGACTCCCAGCCGTGCCGATCTTGCCCTATGGCTCGTGCCAACTAAGCCTTAAAATGGCACATGATGAAACACCTAATAATGGCACAATAATTCTGGGAGCAACTCACTGTGCTTACACCCTTACACGGGTTCCACAAGCAGTTCGAAGTCTTAAGTAGTTCGCCAAACAAGACCTCGCAGGCTGAGGATTATTTCAGTTGTCCAGCAGTTCAGCTTTCCTCAGCTGCATTCACGACAACGACTTCCATGCTCTCTAGTGAAAGAGGGTAAACTAATTACTTTTCAGTGCGAGAGGGTAAACTAATTCCTTGATACCCATCTCGGTAAGCTTTATAGTGCGAGAAGGCCACATAGCTCAAAAGATCGAATGCTTGAAAACTAACGAGGCAGGGAATGGTCAGGGGGTAGCAGACATTTTGCATTCAACATTTCACTCATCCGACACTTCATCTTCAACAACTCAGATCTTGGCAGTTCCATCATTGACTGCTTCATCCATGGCAATTGAGAAATCAAACTTAAGCAGTTACCTCATTTTTGGCAAGCAGCCCAAACCATGGCCCATGCCATGCCACTTTCTCTGCCCATGCTGAGCCAATCATTGGCTTCAGTTAAGCCAAGCAGCACAAGCAATGGCCCTTGCCACACCACCTCCTTGGCCCATGCCAAGCTGACTCCTAGCCCATGCCAAGCCGACTCTTGGCCTTTGCCAGCCGACGTGCTGCACCACCACGACGGCTGCCACTTGGCAGCACTACCCAAGAAGAAGACAAAGAGAATTAAGTTTTTCTTACATCGGTGCAGCGTGGAGAAAACAAAGAAATCAACGGAAGACAGTTCTTTGCACGGGCAAGCAAAGAAGAGTGCTAGGGGAGGGGGAACAAATATCCTTTAGTTTTCTCCTTTTCTTTTAGGGACAAATAATTGCCCTCCGAAGTTGATTTAATCCCCTACTTAAGGTAGGCTTAAATAGGCTTTGGAGGTGATTTATATCCCTTTCCTCGAAGAAAATAATTCCAAGTCCAAGTGAGAATCTGCATCAAAGCTGGAAATCTCTACACATGCTGCCCTTTCTTGTAAACAACCTAGCAAGTGTGAGGGCATTTGTGGAGCAAAAAATAATCAAGAAAAATATGGAGGCGACATGTGGATTTTTAGGTAAAAAAGAAAAGATCACCCTCGAGGCACACGAGGATTTCTACGTGCAAGCAGTGTGCAATCATCCCTTAATCAAGTCAAAAGTGCCCAAAATAGGTATTTATTCAAAACTTATTTCATCCATCCTTATCAAATATTCTCCACAAGGTAACCCCCAAATCATTCATTTCTAATTATATTAATTAGCTAACAAATCATGAATCTCACCTGAAAAACCATCTAAGTGGCTGGTCCTCTTCCTCCCAAAGAGGTTTGCCACACTCCTATGTAAACACCCTCATTTTGTCCAAAACCTAAGTTCTACACTCTTGCTAAATTCTCTAAATTCTCCAAACACTTTTCCCTCAAAATTCTAACTTTGGCATCGAAGGTTCTTCGGCCAAAGCCCCCCTCATTCATCATGGGCGCGTGAGGCTCTTGGACTTGACCTAAGGTGTTGTTTGTTTTGTAGGTGCAATTTTGTCCAAGAACAAGGAGGAATAAATTTGCATCCACATCCATGATTTATCAATTATGATAAACCAAACATTTTGCCTCCTTTCTAACTTTTTCTTCTTCTAAGAGAATGATATACTTATACTAAAAGCGTAGGAGAATAAATTATTAGTGAACTTATCAATTATGATAAACCAAACATTTTGCCTCCTTTCTAACTTTTTTTCTTATAAGAGAACGATATATTTGAACTTAAGATTTCTCATTTATAAGTGAAGACATTTCACTAAAGGCTTATTTTTTAGCTACACCTTCTAGAACTTGATTTTAATCTCACTTTGTTCCTTGTGACTCAAAAGTCGCCACTTTACTCTTCGAAACTCAAATTCGCTCAACTTTGCACATTGGAACTCAATTTTGATCCCATTTTGCCCCCTAAAACTTGAAAGTCGGCTATATAAAACATAAAATTCACTCCACGTTGCCTTAAATCTGTTAATTTCTTATGTAGGTTTGATTTCGGTGCGCCAGACTAATCAATTTCTTTTTTATTTTTTTTCATGTCTTCAGTTTCTTTTAAGCTTAATATTCTCTTATTGTGGGATGTTAACACATAATGGATATTTATAATCAAATTTATTGCACATTTGTTATAGTCTCAGGGAGGAGAGAGTCCACAAGTCAAATGGAATGAATTTTGAGTTTCAGGAAGTAAAGTAGTGACTTTTGAGTTCCAGTAGGTAAAGTGAAATCCAAATGAAGTTCCAAGAGGTGTAGCTAAAAATAAACTTATCACTAAACTATAGTGCTAAGTGGCTACCTCCCTTGGAACCTTAATCTCACAAGTATATAAAATCAACTCCAACTGTACACTGATTGTAATGACAAGGGAGAGAAGTGGGAAGGACCACCTCAAAGCCAAAAATCTCATCCTTGTGTGGAGAAACAAAGTGCTTCAGCACATACCACCCCCTCCCCCCTCCAAGTTACTCTTTCAAATAGTTTTATCACCTTTTAGAGTTATCACCTAGACCCTTTGGATTTGTGGAGGCGAAAATCAAGTGTTAACTTTCATAGCCAACCGGATGACCATCGAGACACCTATAACTTTGTAAATGCAAAGAAAAGATGTGAATTACTTGCCTTTCGTACCTATATTTGTCTTGTACAATTTGCCATGGATATTTCATGGAAACACCATGAAAACATGATTGGGAAACCACGTTCTGCGTCTCTTTGCTTTTTGTGTACTTTAATGCATGATATTCTTTCTAAGTTGCCTAGTAAACTTGAATTTAAAATTAAAAGCTTTTATAAAAAGAACTTGGACTAAGTTTATTGGGTAAATCTCAATTTACTACCCTCATGTTTCATGGTTTTCAACATTTGTACATGAAGTTTTTTTGTACCAAAGTCATACCTAAAGTGTTAATTTTGGGACAGTCTCATACATCTGTCAGTCAAACTATTAAGTCTGTCGTTAACTGATTATGTGGCACCTATGTAGACAATGATTGGGCGCCACGTGTCATTAAAAATATTAAAATAATTAATTAAATAAAAGTATTTAAAAAAAAAACCTACCCCCGCACTCTCTTTCTCTCTCTTTACCTCTCTCTCCACTCTCCTTTTTACTGGGCTTGGATGAAATACCCAAGATTTTTCTCTGGCTGAGATGAAGGAATCAATGCAAAAGCTTGGATCTTCCACTGAGGTAAGAGCTTACTAAAACCACATACACATTCAATCATCAAATATTTCAAGAAATTAAGAGAGAAAGAGAGAAAGAGAGTTAGAGAGAAAGAGAGAAAGAGAGTTAGAGAGAAGAAAGAGAGAGAGTCCTCCGACATCTTCGACAATGTCAAGGACAAGATCAAAGCCAAGGAGGGCATCCCCCCGGACCAGCAGCTACTCATCTTCTCCGACAAGCAACTCGAGGACGGCCGAACCCTCGTCGACGGAGATGGAGATGGAGGGAAGGAAATCGAGGATGGA